TTCTGTTACAACTGATGCTACACTGCCTCAGTTCTCTTTTGTGCCCCCAGCTTGGTTTTTTTCTTCATATTTTAATGTTTTTATAGGAAAATCATTTTATGTGCTTATTTTGTATGAAGACTGAATATCTAAGCAAGATAAATTAATGTATCAAAAGATTTCACTGCATTTCATATGTAAAATGAAATGTGCTCAGAGCCTGGGACTCACTCCCTCCCACTCACCTTTTACATACAAATCACCACATTTCCCAAACTGCTGCAGAGTTTTTCATTTGCAGCTCAAATCTGCAGCTGATGTAGAAATAAAGTCTGGAGTTCAGGAAACCCACATCAAAATTCTAATTTCAGTGGGACTGGGGTCTGAAGTCTGTCACTGAAAATTTAGAATTTAGGCTGAGGTTTCTAAAGGACTGGAGATACCTCTGGAATGGGACATTTGGTGTCCTGGAAGGGAATCAGGGGCAGGAATGGTCTGAGAGCAGAAAAAAATCAAGGATTTCTTTGAGATGTGGGGTGTCAAAGTCAGGGTGGGTCATTCAGAGCCCTCAACAGCGGAATTTAAATGCTGGTATTGCAGAGCATGGCTTGGCAGAGTCATGGAATCACAGAATTCCAGACTGGTTTGGGTGGCAAGGGACTTAAAGCCCATTTCATTCCACTCCCTGCCATGGGCAGGGACACCTTCCACCAGCCCAGGTTGCTCCAAGCCCCGTCCAACCTGGCCTTGGACACTTCCTTGGACACTCTGCTTGATCTCCACTGGGAATTGTCCTCCCAACACAGCACATTTTCCAGACACATTATCCCCCTCAGTGCCAGCCAGGCAGGGAGGGAAGGGAGCCTTTCTCCTCCCTCTGTGCTGCAGAGAACACTGTGCTAATGAGGTGACAGCAGCTGACAGAGCAGATTACACACAACCCCACCAGTAATTAGCAGTTATTCCTCCCTGCACCAAAGGGTTCAGAGGAGTCACAGCACTGCCATGGGCAGACCCTTTGCACAGCGAAGTTGTGCCCCAGGAGTGGCACCTCCCATGCAAGGTCAGAGCAGAGACCCTTGGGGGTTTAACCCTGGGAACCTGCAGTCAAAGCAGAACAGCTCCAACGGCTGAGGGCAAATCTGCTTTTTGTATTTTTTTCCTGATTCCTTGTGAGCAGAGGTTGTTCTTATCCTTGTGAGCAGAGGTTGTTCCTCTGTGGCATCTACAGGGAGAAGAACAGAAACATCAGGGCATCAGCCCATGGAAATAGATGTTGACCATCCTCTGCCTTTCTCAGCTCAACAGTGTTCCTCGTACAGTGGGTTTTTCCCAGAATGTTGTTTGGTGGAACAGCTGCCCCACTGCACACCTGGATCACACCGGGACACAGATTCTGTTATGATTCCCAAAACAGTAGAATGGCTGCCCCATTGCACATCTGGATCATTCCCTCACACAAGGTTCCTACTGTGATTCCCAAGACCTTTGGGGAAACAAATGGGCATTTTGCTCTGCTTTTGGACAGGTCTAACCAAGAGAAGAAGGGGAAAGGGGACTCAGCTTTTCTCCCTCCTCCTGCAGAGCCCTGCTCCACATCTGCCACAGGTGGGAGTTGGAATTCTGCCACATCCCCCATTCTGTGGGAATCCTCTGCTGCTCAGTCCCAGGGTGGAATGAGTTTGGAGATTCAGCATAATTATACATTCTAGAATTATAGGTGAAGGTAAGAGACCTGTGAAATTCCTATGGTGGTGGGGAAAGGGAGAGACAGAAGCTGAGCTCTCATCCTGACAGGAATTCCAGGTTCCAATAGCTCACCCTTCACACATCCAGGTCAGAGCAGAGTGGGACAGTCCCTGTGGGAGCTCCTCCAGGAGAAGGAAAGATAGAAAGATAGAGAGAGAGAAAGATAGAGAGAAAGATGAAAGAAAAAAAGCAAGAGAGGAAGAGAGAGAGGGAGAAAGAAAGAAAGAAAGAAAGAAAGAAAGAAAGAAAGAAAGAAAGAAAGAAAGAAAGAAAGAAAGAAAGAAAAAAAGAAAGAAAGAAAGAAAGAAAGAAAGAAAGAAAGAAAGAAAGAAAGAAAGAAAGAAAGAAAGAAAGAAAGAAAGAAAGAAAGGAAGAAAGAAAGAAAGAAAGAAAGAAAGAAGGAAAGAAGAGAGAGAAAGAGGGATTGTTTGTTTGGTGGCAGGTCACCCACAGCCACTGCCTTGCTTGCTCTGTGCTGGCAGAGAAGGACATTTATTGAGTTAAAAGTGAACTGGCCCCAGACCATGTGCAAGAAAGGCATGTCTTGACCCTCACACCAACTTCTTTCTCTCCGTCTCTGTTCAGTGTCACTACAGGCTGAGGGACAGAGCCCATGAACAAGATGCTCAGAAAGGCAGCTCATGTCCCCTAAAAATTTGCACAATCCCCCCGAAAATTCCCTGTCCTACCCAGGAAAGGATTAAATTAAACCTGAGGCCTTACTGGGCTCACTCAGAATTGCAGCAGTAACTCTGAACATTGCAAACTCTTTGGATGCCTTATTTGAAAGGTCCAAATATCTCTTCAGACTCACCAAGCAATGGCTTCCCAGCAATAGCACATGTGAATATAAGGAACAAAAGAGCCCATGGCCATGTGGATAACTCAGGAATAAAATGGAACTCTGAATCACACAGTTATTTGTAGTCAGCTCATCCAAGTCACTTTGTTCAGCCACATTATTAAGACTCAGGAAACGCAAGAAATCCAAGATCATGAGTTTATCTGCCTTGATTTTTGTCTCTTAAGTACATAAAAAAGCAAAGCAGCTGCCAGGGCCAGAGGGAAGTTGAGTTGTTTGAGCACATGTTGTTCCCTTGAGTTATTGAATGAAGATGAAGCTGCACTGAGACTCCTGGGCAGGAAAATGGGACTCACCTGGCTCTGCTGGGGCAGCTCAGAACCAGCAAGTGACAGCTTTTAAGAACAAGTAGCAAAACAAAAGAGAACAAAACACAATTTCAACCCTATTTCTCTATCTTTTCCTTCTTTTTTTTTCCTCAAGAAGGTAAAAAGGTAAACAGAGTGAGTAGTTTGAGGAACAGTTGAGGCTGTTGATTCAGGTTTGATAAAAATTCCTGTGGTACAACCAGGTTTAAAGCTGACACTGTTTCTCCTGTGGTTTTTGAAAGATAGAAAAAGAAATCCCAGTAATGTTGTCTTACAAGTGAAAGGAACTTGTGGGCTGAGGAGATCCTGACCCACCCTCTAGGAGGCAGAAACACCAAAGATTTTAGGTGGCCTTTCCAAGGGTTCTCCCACCTTTTTTAGCAGCATGGAAATTTCCATACATGGACATGACTCACAGTAAATCAACTCCAGAATAGTTAACAGGATGAAGTTTCAGAATTAAATACCAGGACAAACCCAGTAACAAATACAGGCTCAGAGTTGCAAGAAGTGCATATTGAGATGAGATTTACCAATCTCTTCCTGGTTCCTCGGCAGCAGGAAGACTCCAGAGGCAAGCTGGAGGAATAGATCACATTGCAAGGGTAAAGGTGCAGGGAAGAACATAGACAAGATCAGGACAAGGAAGCAGCAGAAGAGGGAAGAAAGCAGAGAGGACCTGAGGGGTCATTCAGAGGGGGGTCTGATTGCCCAGCGATGGAGGAACCACTGGTTTGGGGGGTGGCGACTGGTCTGGGTTGGATGGAGCCAGGGAGCTGTGATGATTTGGTGATGGAGGGGGTCACTGCCCACACTCAACTGCTGATCTGGGGTCAAGGAAACCTAAAGGAGGAGGGAGAGAGGGCAGGGGATGCACAAGGGCTGGGAGGACAGGGCTGAGCAGGGAGTGATAAGGTTTCTGGACATGGAAGAAGCGAAGAAATCTCTCCGGGCTGGGATGAGCTGAAGGAAACAAAGTGGAAAACAAGGGAGTGTCCTTGAAGAGTGTCTGAACTCCTGACACTGCCTCCAGGATGACGTAGGGCATCCCTTGTTGGGTCAAGAGGGCTGGCTAGAGAGGTGCCAAAAAGTGCTGCTGAAACACGTTTCATGAGACATGAAACTCGTGTTTTCTGAGCTCAGCAAGAGCACTGGCAGGAGCTTCACACATGTGGAGCTGTTTGGGTACAAAGACCAAACCTGGGAAGCTCTGGAAAAATTCTAGAGGGGCTGCTCTCCCCTTTAGAGGGATGAGCAGACAGTTTTGTGATGAGAGGCTCCCCCAGACATCTCCTGAGGGGGCAGCTCTGAGGTTCTGGGGACAGGCAGTGCTGGGCAGTCTGTGGTGGGTGCAGGGACATGAAAGGTACTCTGGGTTCCATAAGTCCCTGGGTCAGAGAAGCATCATGTTTGCACAATAAAATAGGGGGGTTGGAAGGGTGTGAGAGCAACCACTGTAAGTGGTTTAGGAAGAGGAGGTTCTGTCCATGGCACTGGGCAGGGACAGCCCTGAATCCCTCATGGTCTCTCTGTCCTGAACAGGAGAAACTTGAATGATGTTGTGCAGTGAGTCAGGGCCTTCAGCAGGTTATTCCAACCAGCCCCATGCAAGCAGGGGTTGAACAGGCTGGGTTTAGCCATGAACCCCAACTCTGGCCACACACTGTTGTGCCAAAACCACATCAGCTTAGGAAGCTTTGTCCCATGTTCCTTGTCCTTCAAACTGCCCTTGCACAGATGCCCAAGCAGCACTGGAAGTCATGGCTTGGCTGACAAAACAGACTTTGCTTTGATTATAATTTTTCCTGGTTTGTCTGGTTAAATCTGACACCACTTTGCTGATGTGGAAGAGAGAAAGGAGCAATCAGACACGGGGGAACACGAGGTTGGTCAGCACAATTCTAAAAGCCTGGGCCATATTTCATTTTGCACACTATTGAAAAATATGGTCCTATATTTAATGTTAATGGAAAGCATCAGTCATGCAGCATTACCATAGGAACATTTCTATTAACATTAAACATACTTTGACACCAGTAAATGTTACTGGCTGGTAGAGGAAAGTTACACCGTGTGTAATTTTGCTCTTTGTTATCTCTTACCATGTGTAGGTGTCTGGGTGGCACTGTCTAGTATCAGGTGATTATAATTTTGTTCTTGGTCATCTGAAATTCATAGAAAAAAAATACCTTTAAGAACTAGCTTAGCAAACCCAGTGATCTGCAGATGATAATTACAGCTCACAGCACTCACAGGAAATCTCAGCGTGATTCAAAAAAGAAGAGGAAAATGCTTAAGAAAGCAGAAGATTCTGTTCCGTAGTTCACTTAAAATTCCAGATGCAAGAAGAATATGATAATAGGAATCTGCTCCCCTTCTGCTGAGCCTGCAAATTAAGGTTATCTGCAAAGGTGAGAAACATGTCCAGGCAGAGGCAAACTGTGGCTGCTGGACCCGCACGGGCTCCCGGGAGCTGCTGGCACCTCAGAGCCCCTGCCCCCTGCTCCACCTCCACCCACCAGGGAGACCTGGACACTTGGAGGTTTGGAGATTTGGAAATTTGGAGGTTTTCAGGACGTTATCCCCAACCACCCAAAAACCACTGTCCCACTGTGAGCACAACCAGAGCAACAATGTCCTGTCTGAGTGCAGAGAGAAATCAAATAAGTGACCTCTTTAATCAATGAAGTTGAGTTAAATGTCTGCATGTGGATGTGGATCTCCCTCCCCAAGAAGGGAGAATCCTGTAAAACTGATGTATTCAGTATTAAATTCTTCAAATAGGGGGGAAAATCCATGGCAGAGTGACTGCCAGAACTGGGCTTGGGAACTACCCTGTGGGGTGGAAAACAACTCTGCCTCTTTCTCCCCATAATAAAACCATTAGATAAGTGAGTCCTGATAAACTTCCATGACCTTTAGATTCCACACAGGCCTTCAGTAAGGAAAGAATGCTTTGTCCAGATCTTTACAACAGGGATGGAACTGCAGCAATGGAGGGTGAGAGGAGATCTCTAGAAACCTTTCCTGCCGGGCTCTCCCTGTACAGGGTGGATACTCTGATGTCTCCTCTGCTGTTCTTGTAACCCTGTCACTGATACTTCACTTTCCCCCAAGAAGAGCTGTTTCCCTGGGTCATTCTCACTGCTGTTCTGACCAATTGTTTCTTTTCTGTTCCAGGGACATGGAGAAAACCCCCCTTGTTTCTGCCACAGCTCTTTATGACAACACTGTTCCTGTGTGTTCCCTTAACTTTACTCTTCAAGTTAATGCCATTTCTTTTATGTTTCCCTATAAAACTTGCTTTGCCTTTGATTATTGTCATTTTAGCACCCCGTGCTCTCTCTGAGTGACCAGGATCCTTCTCAGGTCTGGGACATGTTTCTGAGAGAGACCTGACCAGCACAGAGTGGATTCCCTGGAGTCTTCCAAGTCAACTTCTCTTGTTCACACAAACTCGTGATATTTTACTTTTCCTGGTTCACGTGAAGTTTGTGATCCTTTGTGATTCCTTATTGCTTTTCTGAGAAACTGTCCAATTGTTCTCCAACACATTTCAACATTCTTGTTTTAGTCCAATGCATCTCATTTTTCTCCATTTAATCAATTTATTTTCAGGCTATTTCTCCAATTTGTCAAGAACATTTTAAATTCTAATCCCATTCTCTAATAGACTTATGGTCACCCAAGCTTCATATCACCTGCAAATTTAATAAGCAAATTCCTTTTCCACCAGTAACAAGGAGACTAAATTCAGAACCACATCGGTTCATCTTTGGTTCCCCTTTCTGGTCACACATCTACCCCAGAGAGGTTCATTAACAACATGCTTCTCAAATTAAACTCACATTACTTTCCTAGAAACTGCTGGAAATCTTGCTGAGGTCATGAGCCTTAATAGAAATTATTCCTCCCTGGCCACAAAACACAGCAAAAAAATAAAAATAAAATTAACTTCACATGATTTGTTTCTGAGAAGTTGTGCTTTATCTCCCTGAAACTCCTCTCCCTGCACAGTACGTGGAATGTCTGTTTACAGGCAGGATTAAATCAGAGCTTATTTACTCAGGGGACAACACTGGACATCTCTGCTGGGGCACTGCTCCACCTGGGAACCAGGCACTCCTTAAACACAAAGGCAGCTGGAAACACCCAAAGGGTTTGATCCCAAAGGATTTGAGAGGAGCCCAGGTTCACATGGACCTCTGGAGTGCCCTTGAATAAGTGGCCCACAGGGCCCTCAGTTAGAATTTTCCTCTAGATCCTCCCCTCTTGTTTTTAGCAAGGGAAAGTCCTGCAGGAACAAGTTTTGTGACTTTGCTTTAGTTTCTCTTCCTCCATATGGTCAAATTTCACTTAATTGTGAAAACTGGACCAGAGGACGGGTGGAACAAATAAGAAAGTATTTCTGGAATCCCTGGGACTATCCAGGGGGATTTTCCCAGAATCAGAAACACAGAATATGCCGAGTGTGAAGGGACCCACAGGGACCATTGAGCCCAACTCCTGGCCCTGCACAGGACCCTTTTGGGGGCAGGTGGGTTAATTTTTATCTAGTTTCCAGCAAACATGATGCACATTCATGCTCACTAATCCTGCATTAGGTTTTAACTGTCCCTAAGTTCAAACAGACCTTTTCAGTAATACAATTTTAAAACACTGTCTGTGGTGGTCAGTCTGGCACATCTTTAGAAATAACTGCAGTAATTTCAGTCTTTGTTACCAAAAACCACAATATACTTTAGGTCTTAACTGACTCATCTGGCTTCAGCTTCTATTAGATCTTTTATATTTCTTGGTGGGACTAAAAACCCAATTTATTACTAGAAAATGCTTTCCCATAGAGGTATTTCTAGGTCATGAACCTTGACAATCATAACTTTACCATTCTCTTAGATAATCTCAATATTCTGTGCCTCTGGAAAGCTGTGGGGATGAGGTCTGGGCTGGGATTCACTTCAGCAGATTTGATCCATGGCATTGTCAAGTAGAAATGTGTTTTAAATATTACTGGCAGAATGGTGTTTAGCATTTTGGCTGCCAATGGGGCTGCTGGAGCTGCCAGACCCAGCTCTGGGGAGCCTCCTTTGTGCAGAATTTGTAGGATTTTGGTTGCAGAGGCAGCTGGTTTGTACAGTGCAGGTCAGGGCTCTCAGTGCCCTGAGTACAACTGTGTCTCTTGCAGCTGCTCATCTGCTGTCAAGTTCATAAAATCACAAAATCACTGAGGCTGGAGGCACCTCTGGAGACCTTCCAGTTCAACCCCTGCCCAAAGCAGGGTCAGCCTGTGTGGTCCAGGATCATTTTTGTCATGGTTTGGAACATCTCCAAAGATATCCTGAAGAAAAGAAGACTCAGGGGAGACCTTTTCAGTATTTCCAAATCCCTGACAGGAGGGGGGAGCCAGGCGGGGGTCGGGCTCTGCTCCCGGGGAAAAAGGAACAGGACAAGAGGAAAGGGCCTCAAGTTGCACCAGAAGAGGTTTAGATTGGATATTAGGAAAAAATTCTTCATGGAAAGGGTTGTAAAGCATTGGCACAGCTGCCCAGGGCAGTGGTGGAGTCACCAGCCCTGGAAGTGTCAAAAAAACATGTGGATGTGGCACTTGAGGACATGGTTTAGTGGTGAACATGGTGGTGGGGTGATGGTTGGACTTGATGATCTTAAAGGACTTCTCCAACCTTAAGGATACTGTGATTCTGTGACTCAAAGAATGGAAACTCCATAACCTCTCTTCGAGTGCTTTTCCAGTATTCAACCACCAGTGAGAAAGCTTTTTCTTATGTTTAAGTGGAATTTTCTGTATTACAACTTGTGTTCTTTGCCTCTTCACAGAATCCCAGAATCCCAGAATATGCTGGGTTGGAAGGACCCACAAGGATCATCGAGTCCAACCCTCAGCCCTGCACAGGCCCATCCCCAGGAGTCACCCCCTGTGCCCCAGAGGATCATCCAAACCCTCCTGGAGCTCTGGCAGCCTTGGGGCTGTGCCCACTGCCCTGGGGAGCCTGGGCAGTGCCCAACCAGCCTCTGGGGGAAGAACCTTTGGCTGAGATCCAACCTGAGCCTGCCCTGACACAGCTCCAGCCCTTCCCTGGCTGCTGTCCCTGGTCCCCCCAGAGCAGAGCTCAGTCCCTGCCCCTCCTCTGCCCCTGCCCAGGAAGGTGGAACTGCAGTGAGGTCTCCCCTCAGTCTCCTCTTCTCCAGCTGAACACACCAAGTGCCCTCAGCTGCTCCAAAGCTGATGTTTCTGCCGTGGCACTGGGCACCACTGGGAAGGGACTGGCTCCATCTTCTTTACTCACCTATCAGTTAGTTATCTGCACTAATGAGATCCTCCTGAGCCTTTCCCTCTCCAGGCTGAGAAGACCCAGCTCTCAGCCTCCCCCACGCCCCAATCCCCATTCCTGGCCCTTTGCTGGTCCTGCTTCAGTTTGCCAGTGGCTCTACTGGACTTGGGAGCCCATCACTGCTCCCAGCAGTGCAGATATTTCCCCCAGTGCTGGCAGAGGGGAGGGATCACCTCCCTGACCCGCTGGCAGCATTCCTGGGATGCTCTCCAGGGTGCTGGTGGCCTCCTTTGCCACAAGGGCGCATTGATCCCTCACCTTGCACTGGGTGCCCTACATCGGTCATTTTACCCACCATTTATTACCTTATTTCTAAGTTATTAGATCTATTTTTGAGGTTGCAAAGCAGGTAGTGAGTAACGAGCCTGTTGTATTTTTCATGACCTCTCCCTGACATTTGCAGCGATAAGTTCATTGAGCATGACTAAACTGCTCCACAGACACTTCTCTCCTCAAAGCCTTGGCAAGTGATGGATTTCCCCGGGAGGTTTCCATCCTTCCACATGCTTTTAGAGCATCGTGTGGTTCCACACAGACATGGGGCCGCAGTCACGCCAAGGAGAGCAAGGACATCAAACCTGGCTGCAGCAAAGCTGATTTACAAATCAATCTGCAACTCAAACACCCAAGTTCTTTGTGCCCTTCCCAACTGGTGTTGCTCACACACACCAGGAGCTGACAGGTGAGAGGTGACACAGAGATGGAGACACTTGTGGTGTGAAATGCAACCATGTAGAAAAGGAACAGACAGAACTGGAGCACATCAGTTGTTCCAGAAGGGAAACAATAGAGGTTTCTCCCTCCTGCAAACACAG